AATAAAATGTATATGTGTTTTTGTCCTTATATAATAATTTATTCAAGGTTTTTTTAATTGAAAAGATGGTATATTTTGTCAATATATGGTTTTCAATTAAAATGCTATTCATTTTTGATACAATAATTAATTACAGACAGTGTAATTAACTCAATTGAAAGTTTGAATTGCTTCATGCACATATGGGCTAATATTTTGTTCCGGGCCAAGGCTGTCAGGTGGCCTGTATTCAGATACTTCTTTGGGGAAAAACACATAAAACATCAAATTTTAAAGAATGAAGACACCATTTGTGCAAAATGACATGTTATAACTAAATCTTTAAGGGCTATCACATACATTTAGAAGAGATTTGGGTAACAGCAGTTATTATGGGTAAAAAAGCTCTGCGTGTGTCCACACTAACAACATACACAGACTAAACCATCACCTAAATACAACAGAAACAATGTAAGAAGGTGTCCAATAAATAGATGACTTATATATGGGATATATCTCCTCCAAGCCTGAGAAGCTTTCTAATTCTTTTAAGCAAATTAAAGCTGTTTGTAACTTCTGTAATCAAGCTGCAATCATTTGATCGTCTCAAGGTTTTATGATACAAAACACCTATTTTCACTTTTAAAAAGCTATTTTGTTGAGGAATTTGTTTATAGAGTCAATAACTGCTGCTTTCATCAACTGTTTGATGCAACGTCTTTTAAAGATGTCGATGTGTGCAAAAATGAAAACCTTTTACTTCTTTTTTCTGACTGGCAAAGATATGGACTGGATTGCCGAATCTTGCTGTCTTCAGTGCTCCAAGTCATACATCTCTGTCAGCTTTTCAGCTTTCTATAATGGAATTGATTGACAGGGACCAGACAGCGGGGAGGTTTTTCTCAGACGAGAGGAAAAAGAGATCATTTAGTAAGAAACAGTGATCCTGTGCTCAACTCTTGTCGTCGTTTCTGGAGTTTATTGTTAAAACATTTATTAATGCAATAAGTTACATTTGGATTTCATTAAAACCATAAATTCATTTATTGAGTTAAAACAAAATACAAAAAAAGACTTCTACCACACCAGCAGCATGACATTATTTGTCATAAAAACGCTACATGCAACCAAAGTGAGTAACTGGTATAATAATAAAAAAAACTACAATCATAATTTGATCATATAACTTTAAAGTAGGCTAGTTTTTTAAATTGCGTAATCTTATGACTTTATTCTGGTAAAATACTCGTAATGTTACAATTTTATTTTAACAAATTTAACACTGTGACTTTATTTTTATATTTTTACAACTTATTCTCGTAATTTTTAGCGAGATCTAACGTCCAGACTGCAGACCGCAGCAACATGAACATCTCCCCCCCACCGCTTCTCCCCCCCAACAGTACGGCGAGCGTTACGGGACAAAATGTCTTCCACGACGTCCGCATCACCTACCTTCTCAAGTGATGAGGTTTGTTTACATAGATAATTTTACAGATAGTATTCTCAGGCATAATACTGCCATCTATTTTTCAGTACCGTCTCAGTTCATCTCTCTCAACTTGCCATAGTTACTTTCGAGCGTAATGGGCGATCTCGCAATCCCTAGTTTGTTGGCTCTGCGCTGCCGTAGCGCAAAGATGTCTGCCTCCATGGCTGCGAGACCCGCTCCTATGTAATTATAAATAACGAATTCTAAGGCAACGCAAATATTAAGGTTAAGAGGCTGAGCTCGTAGATGATGATAAATAACATAGTTATGTATAATATATTACATTTCTGACTGTATATCCCTGTAATTATTACACACTGTAGCTTTAATACGATTTTCTTCTCATAATATTATGGCTGTTAGGAATCCAGTTTGTGTGGCCTGTTTGTGTGTTTCCTTTTTCCACCACCAGGGGGTGCCCTGTCTTCGCTGTCCCTCCCTGCATACCTGCGGCTCACTTGATCATTATCTGGAGGAGTATTTGAGCAGTGGACTGTCACTACCTCGACGCCAGAGTGTTTGCCAGTTTTGGGTACTCTAGCCAAGCTGTTTCTCTGAGTCTAACAAGTTTTTTGTCTTTCCTCTCCGGCGGGAAGCTTTCCTGTGTAACTGGATTCCTGGACCTTCTCCCCCCTGGAAGGAAAATCCGAGTTACACTGAGCTGGGGAAAACTTCCTCATGTTCCGTTCAAGTACCCATCGGAAATCCGAGTGACAGTCCGCTCCACTACTACCTGTCTACCCTCCAACGTGTGCACTATTCTCTGGATTCCCTGAACTCACCTCTGAACTTCCTTCTCACTTCCAGTTCCCGGGTTACCAGCTCACTGAGTTCCAGATCCAACTCCTGTATTACTTCCTTAATAAACCTGTTAAATGTTTTTCCGAGCTATCTGAGTGGTTTCTCTGCATGTGGGACAGATTTGTTAAAACGATCATGACAATGGCTTTATTTTTGCCATTAAAAAAGAAAAAGATGCATAGATCTCTTTGTATGGCGCTAAAACTTGGTCGCGAATAACAACTTCAGGTAATTCAAAAAATTGTTAAAATAGAAATCAATAAAAATAAAAATCCTTAATCCTTATTTATATTGATATACTGTATATATATATATATATATATATATATATATATATATATATATATATATATATATATATATATATATATATATATATATATATATGTATATATATGTATATATGTATATATATATATATATATATATATATATATATATATATATATATATATATATATATATATGTATATATGTATATATATATATATATATTTTGTTTTTTTCTTCTTAATGCACCCTTTTTCTCATTGTTTGCACCTTCTTCTTTAATTACTATGCCAATATGTGTGTGAATTTCTCCGCTGTGAGATCAATAAAGCTCATCTAATCTAATCTAAAAGGCTTAATAGCAAAATAAGGTTTATTAGGTTCATTAGTATAGGCATACAATATAACCTTTATATCATTACCTACTTAGAGTTAGTTATATTATGGATTCATACTATACTTGACTCTAGGGGTGCACTGATTGATTTTCTTTTCCTTCATTTTGGGAGATGTATGATTGGCCGATACTTATATGTGAAACTGATATTTTCCACTCATCCTTTCTGTTTCTGCAAGGATCTGAAAATCACAGACTCAATGCTAATATTTAAAAGGTGATATTTGAGGATATTTTATTGTTTCACAGGTACTGATTTAAGTCCTTCAGTAAGATTTAGGGATGAAACAAATAATCAGATTAATCATGATAAATCGACTATTTAAATAATCGTCAACTAATTTAGTAATGGATTAATCTTGAAATGGAGTATAGAGACTAAAATGTGTCTTTAGCTAAAAGAGTGACCCAAATTATTATAAATTATTAATATATATATATATATATATATATATATATATATATATATATATATATATATATATATATATATATATATATATATATATATATATATATATATATATATATATATAACATTTTGCATTTAAAATAAAAAAAAATAAATAAATGTTTTAGCTTCACCTGGTTTAATTTAGTAAAAAATCTTCCTTAAGGAACGTTTTGCTATCCCATTATTAATCGATTAATCAAAAATCAACAGATTAATCGATTTGCAAAATAATCGTTAGTTGCAGCCCTAGTAAGATTAGATTCAAATATTAAAGGTGTCTTGTGCTCTTATAACAACTGATGGTTTAAGTTAGTTAGTTAGTTAGTTAGTTAGTTAGTTAGTTAGTTAGTTGGTTAGTTAGTTAGTTAGTTGTTCCAAACTAGAATCGGCATTTTAGGCTTTTAGAAGATTGAAAATTGTTGATCGGCCAGAAAACATGACGCGTTGCATCCATGCCTTCACAAAGCTGCTGGATTTATTCATATAACACAAAGGTTTACTGTATTTGATAAATTACTTTTTCATAAAAAAAATAAAACCATAAATAACATGAAAAACGAATCAAATACATGTCATTGGAGGCAGAGAGGAACAATATATCAAAAAGGAGTATGATAAGAAAAAGCTTGAGGCAGATTAGAAGCGTACAGCCTATTTATTCCCACAGTGATTCTAGAGGAGGCTCTGATCGCCGCAGCCGATCCCGCAGGAGAGGATTTCAGAGTGGGAAGCAGAATCTCACAGTTTGATGCACCAGGATGCATCTGGTCGACTTGTTCGGCATATAGAGGAGTCCTGCTGCTCTAACAAGATCCCCTGACTGGTTTGTCTCTGCATTCGTTAATCAGAACGCACCAGCCAGCAGGCCCAATGACTAACACAACATATGCAACAAGTCCACATAGAAACAGACAGACGGGGGATTTTATTTACAATGCATTCTGCTCGTATGCCCAGCTGGTACGAAACTCAGCTGCAAATCCAGATTTACTGAACAGCGGTCATAAACGTATCGTATTTGGTCATCATGTTTTTTTAATCCCACTGTTTGGCATCAGGAGTGAATCATAAACCACCACAGATGACAGACTATCACAGGGGACATCGTTACTAGACAGACGCAGTTAAAAATACACGCCTTAACTGAAGACATTTGCTCCAAAAACAAATTAATTTAAAGATACTCTTCAGTAGATTCAAAAATAAATATTTCCACAGTAATACCAGCTAAATAAGAGCTTGTAAAATGGAACCTTCCTGAGGCAAACTTTCCCCCCCTAAGAATTGCATTTCTCTCTTTCCTTTATTTTTCTTTTTTTTTTTTTGCAGCTCAGATGGTTGGTCAGACGGTGGGTGTTTGGGTGTCTGAGGGTTGTGCCATCAACAGCAGCTGTTACTGGGGGAGCTACGATCGCCCCGCTCTGTGACACACAAACGCAGCCACTACATGTTTCAATCCTGTCAAATGAAATGTGAGTCGCTTGCCCTTTTTTTCCCTACAGCTGCCACATCTGACAAGCAAAACATTAAACCGCTTCCACCTGAACGCCACCATGCAGAGCGCAGAGTCCAACAGGCAGCATGGAACAGGTGTAAGAAATGTTTACCTCTCAGCTACTGGACACATCCATGGAGCGAAGGCTTAGGGGCCATTGAAGATCCAAATCCTAATGAGACTCCCAGCTCATGCAGCCGCCCCCCCCTGCGTGCCACATCCCCAGTTCTTCCAGCTCAGCGGTCGGTAAGCAGACGCCGGCTTGAAGCCTCTCTGCTCAGGAAGGCGTTTCCTAAATCCTTGCAGAGGAAACGAGTGAAGCTGTAGGTTCTGTCTCTCCTCCACCTCTCTTCTCCCCTCATCCGTGTCTCTCCCTCTCCTTGCCGTCCCCACCTCCCCATCGCTGAGGAAGCTGAGTTACCATGGAGATGCATGAGGCCGGAGCCTGATTGGTAATGGCTGTTGTGATGCAGCGAGTCTGGCGGCGCGGCCCACCAGATTGATTGCCTTTTCAGTGGGGATGGTTGTGTAACAGCGAGCCCGGATCAGCAGATACGAAGGAATTTATTCTCAGTTTGTCTCAGAGTGAAAACTATGATCAGCTGAAAGTCGCAGCTCTACAATTAATAAGTGAAAATATCTAAAAAAGTTAAAAAAAGATCCTTGAATGTCGTTTAATCTTGATTTCATGTTAGAAATTATATAAACGGATAATTTGTATTTACTTTAAATAAAAATAAATGTTATAAAATATATTATTTAATAAGCCAGTAGACCCTAAAATCTGTGAACTGATGTTATGCTGTGCTTAAATAGCTGTAGCACTAATGGATTTTAATGTCAGTTGGGTAAATAATTCAAAATGAGGTGTGAGCGTCGTCTAGGAGGCCAGACACTTATGAGATTATTTTGGTGGATGGAGGATAGAATCTATGGGAGCAGGTGAAAAAATACCCTTTAGATATCTCGTCGAAAATTAACTTAGATTGTGAGTAAATCCTGTTTTTGTATTAAATTAGCAAATGTAACATTAAAATATCTGCAAAAAGAATAAACCCCGAAGATTTTGACCATTTGTGATGGGAATAATAATGAAATTAATCACTGGGATCATTACATTAAAATGAGTTGTTCAAAGGATTCATTCACCAATAGCTCAGTTCATGCAGCTGCACTTTTGATTTTTACAGCTTAAAGTTGTAGGGAAATCATATTTAAATGTCAAATCATTCTGGCACAAACACGTATATAAATGTACTCTTTATCAGACCATATTGTCTCAAAATGTAAGAAATTTCTATTTTAAAAAAATCCTGTTTTTAAATGTTTTTTTTTTTTTTGTTATCTTCTGCAGGCCAGTTAGTTATACATCAGCCTGAACACCTAAACTTGGCCAATCATATATCAACGGTCATCTGTCAATCTGATTTTTCGGTCATAGCATCTTGATTCATATGTCGCAGCTAATATACGCAACGGTTGAAATAAGAAATAAGAATAATTTCCTTTCCCATTGAGTTCTGTCCCAGTGTTCACGGGGATGGACGTCTGTGTCTTCAGCAGGCGTAGAGCTAACAGAACTGGCAGCGTTGCGAGGCAAGGGCTCAAACATGTACGGCTGGAAGCCTTCTACACCAAACCAAGCTTCTGCCGCCCTGGCGTCCTCTTCCACAACATCTTCATCCCCGCTTCCCTCCTCTAAATAAAAAATGTATGACAGAGGAGACTCATCCACGACCTCCGACACTAAACTCTCCTCCTCTTACATGTTTCCACTGTCCATAGCGTTTCTTGACAGTGTCGCTTCTAAGGCTACGTTCACACTGCAGGCCTTAATGCTCAATTCCGATTTTTTTGTGAAATCAGATTTTTTTGCGTGTCCGTTCACACTTCCAAGTATATGCGACTTGTATGTGATCTACTGTGTGAACTGAAAGCATTTAACCGAAGTGTCCCGCATGCGCACTCGAGGACGCGATGACGTCACATGTAGCAAGCGTCCTCAGTGTTTGCGGAAGTAAACATGACTCGTAATACCGCAGCGTATATTGCGTTCTTTAAGTTCTTCTCCAACAGGAGCAGGCACATTACGAATGAAATCTTTTTAAGAAGATCAAAAAGAAAGAGAGCCAGGTTCCGGTAAGACCCTTCAAGTTTGATCTGAATCGAGCTATCTTTCCAAATATGAATTAAGTCAGCAACCTCACTTTCTCTCCATTGACTGCTCTCTGTGTTATCTTCCGCAATGGTTGTTCGTTTTTCCCGCCTCCGCTTAGTAGGACGCAGATTAGTAACATTTAGTAACATTTGTCAAGTATCAATGACGTGTAGGTCGGATGAATGCGACCTGGCCGTACAGACACAGGTCGCATTTGAAAAGATCAGATACGTATCGGATTCAGGACCACATATCCAAGTGGCCTGGGTCGCATTTGAAAAAATCCGATCTGTGTCGTTCAGACTGTCATAAAAAGATCATTCAATGGAATTTCCCATTGGGAACCTACTAGCACTAAGTTGCTAACTGGTTAGCAAGATGCTTCTGAGAAATCGGCCGCAATTAACTTGCTTGCAAACCTTCCGCTACAATAATCCCGCCCCCTTGATAAACGACCAATAACATTCACTTTATTCACTTGTCTAAAGTCGTGCACTTTCTGAATTCGGAAATGCAACGGTTGGAACAGCCGCTTCCCTACGACTTTAAATGAGCTGCTTTGGTCACATAATCCGCTATTTACAGAACTTTAACTTCCCCGTTGCATTTCTAATAGGCTATAAGCAGTACTCGATTTGAGGGGGGATGGCATCCCCCTTCTTAAAAAATCTTAAAAATCTTCCCCCTTCTTAAATGACCATCCTCCCATACCATCCCCTGCGACATTTTATTACTGAATGTGTAAAATTTCGACTACATACAGCATTAACAGTAATGGCTATAATATTGCTCTTTCAACATTTGGAGAGCCGTGGGCTTCTGAGTAGCCTCAGCAAAATAAATAAAATCAAAGAAGGGGCCCACCATGGCTATGAAGCTGAAAAAAAATTTAATCTAAATAAGAAATAAAAAAAAAAAAATAAGTGCTGTATTCTGAGTATTCTGGGCCATTTTGAATGGCTGCCACCGTATCTAGGGAGCAGAGAGTAGCAGCGCTGGGGAGAGGCAGCGGCTGGACGACGAATGATGAATGATTCAGGCCTCCTAAAAACATTCCTTATTTTATTCTTTGTCAGGACTATTTTCTCTATTTTCCATTTTTTTTAAATCAAAGCTGCTCTGGCATGTTTATAGGAGCTGCAGCTCCTTCTATTTAAGGACACAGTGATGCTGAGGTCAACTGTTTGTGCATCTGAAATGCACAGCAGTCAACTTTGAACCATTAGGCTTTTGGAGATAGACAAGATTTAGAGAACAAACAATAGCAAATATTTTCATTTTTAATTCCCATCTAACAGGCTTAATTTAGTGGGGGTTTTTTAACCAAGTTTTTACATGAAATGAGATCAGTCCTGACTTTTTATAAACATACAATAAAGAAAGAGCAAGAATGTGATTTTAAAGGCTGAAAACCTGCTTTAGAGTAATGACAGAAACTGGCTGTACTGTTCCTACTGATTAATGCCAATATTAATTATTAAGAAGACTCATTATTGTAATGCTCTAAAATGATTAAATGAACAGCTTAAAGTGTACAGCCATGTATATGTTGAGTCAAAGAAATAAATGGTGTCTTTCACTTAGAGGTTTTTTATGAAGCAGTAATAGAGATGTCATGAAAGATTTTTCCAACGCCACGTGCAACACAGTCACATGATCATGCAGGTTCGTGGGGCATCGTGACCGACCTGCCTTTCCTGCTGCCAGCCTCAGCCACAGAATTTGAATGAGCTCACATGTGAAATCAGATATTCTCTTATAGGTGAGCAACATTTTGATCTTTACACACCAGAAACACTCAAGTAGGACATCTGAGCATCTGGTTGTTGTCCAGCTCCATTCAGTGAGTCTTTCTATGAATCATGTGCTTTGCTATGCAAAAAAAAAATTGTTTTAAAAAATATGAGTAGCCATGATGTTTTAAAAAATTAATGATGGCACATTTCTTTTAAAAAATACAACACATAAAGATAATTTATACATATAATAGAGTGACCAATATGTTGCCAACTCCCTGAAATACAAAAAAGGGTCACCTCATGTGCGTTCCAGCTGACCCGATTGCCTTTAACCCTACTGGAGTGGTGATTTTTGTTTTAGCTCCCTTTTGTGTGTAAAATGATTTATTTTTTTATTTTTTTTACTATTTGACTCAAACGTACAGTGAATTATATGGATATTTGTGAGTGACATGAACACATGGAAAACAAATTATTCTGTTGGGAATCTAGTTTGTGTGGGTTGTTTTTGTGTTTTCCTCTCTCCACCACCACCCTGGTGCCCTGTTCCTCGTTGGGTCTCCCTGCACACCTGCGGCTCGTTGGATCATTACCGGAGGAGTATTTAAGCAGCGGGCTGTCACTACCTCGACGCCAGAGTGTTTGCCAGTTTTGGGTACTCTAGCCAAGCTGAGATTAGCAGAGTCTAACCGAAGCTTTGGTTCTCTGAGTCAAATGTTGTTTTGTCTTTGCTCTTCGGCAGGAAGCCTTCATGTGTAACTGGATAACCTGGACCTTCTCCCCCTGGAAGGATTACTGAGAACACACTGAGCAGGGGTAAACCTCCACATGATCCATTCAAGTCCTCATCAGAAAACCAAGTGACAATCCGCTCCTTTACTCCTCTGGGTCCAACGTATGTCTACCTGTCCACTCTCCTCTGGATTAATTCCCCACAAACTGGATTCAAGGATTAACAATGATCTATGGTTTGTAACTGTTTTATGAATTTCTAATTATAGATAGATGTAATTGTAAACTGTAATGTAAATTGTAATGTAATCTTTTGCCTCTGTCTTGGCCAGGACTCCCTTGAAAAAGAGATTGTTAATCTCAATGGGACTTACTCGTACTCGTACTCGTCGTCTCCCGCTTTATCCGGAACCGGGTCGCGGGGGCAGCAGACTAAGCAGAGACTCCCAGACTTCCCTCTCCGCAGACCCCTGCTCCAGCTCTGTTGGGGGAAGCCATAGGCGCTCCCAGGCCAGCCGAGAGACATAGTCTCTCCAGCGTGTCCTGGGTCGTCCCCTGGCCTCCTCCCGGTGGGACATGCCTGGAACACCTCCCGAGGGAGGCGTCCAGGGGGCATCCGAAGAAGATGTCCGAGCCACCTCAACTGACTCCTCTCGATGTGGAGGAGAACCGGCTCTACACTGAGCCTCTCCCGAATGACCGAGCTCCTCACCCTATCTCTAAGGGAGAGCCCAGCCACCCTGCGGAGAAAGCTA